TGGGCGATCAACTTAAATCACGCCCAATCAGTTTGCTTCGTTTAATGCCAGAAGTTAGGAAGCAAGGAGGACTAGTTTATTCTGTACACAGGGCAGGTTGCCGTAAGTTGGCTGCTCACGGAGAGCGTCAGTCGCGGAGTATTGTTTACGGGGGAGTGAGTGTCTGCATCAGCAGGAGGGGGTGACTGCCTGAGTGTTAGTCGTGTGCTTGGACAAATTAGGGGAGGAGTGGAGGGCGCATACTCACAAGGCCTCACGGGTATCAAGCCAGACGCGCGTGAGGTGATACTAGTTTGTGGGGGCAGCCGGGAGTCACTGCAGCTGGACTGGAGGGGCCCCCGTGTGGGAGGTCGTGTGTCAGCGGCCAGTCGACGCTTGTCGCGGCCATCGACCGACAAAACGGAGCCGGAGAAAAGGGGGTCTGGAGCGGCTGCTACAAGTCCGTGGTCGGACTCTTTGTGCTTGCAACCTCGTTCGAAGCATGTCAGTCGGTCGCCGACATTCGCAGTCGCATTGGTTGGACGCCCCCTTCGACAGGGGGTCAGTACCGCTCTCCGGATCCCAAGCGTAAACGCAATGTGGGCTGTGGAAGTCAAGTAAGGCGAAGGGGGATGCTGAAATCGTTGGTGGTGAAAGTAGCCGAGGTTGAAACGGAAAGGGCAATTTGACGTATGACAAATCTGCCGAGAGATTGACGGAGCCCAGGAACCTCCGCAAAAGATCTGGCTTAGAGGACATGTAAGACAGCAGTGCCCCAAACCTAACGGTAAACTCAAACCTTAATCTAATTAGAAACCTAACTTTAATCCTAAACTTGCCACTAAACCTAACCTCAAACCCAGCACAAAACCCTATGCCTAGGCTTAACCTTCATCGTCACCCAAATCCTTACTCTTAACTGAGCCCTAACCGTGACACAAACCCTAATCCTAACCCTAACCATAACCCTAGACCTAATCCTAACCGCTACCCTACCCCAACCCTAACACCAAACGTAGACCAAAACGGCAATCCAAACCCTAACTCTAACCGTAACTCTTAAACTTAACGCGAACCCTTACGTTAAACTCACGTCTCAGCCTTACACTCACCCAAACCCTAAAATTAAACTTATCTCTAAACTGAAACACTAGGTTGCCCTTTCACGTTTTGGCTCTAGCTACTTTCCCACTAACGACTTCAGTATCCCCCTTCGGCTTACTTCACTTTCAATGCTCACACTGCGTTTACGCTTAGGACGCGAACAGCCTAACCGATCCCCACCCGCCTTTCCCTTTATCTGTCTCGAAACTGGATGGTCAGATATTTCTGGTAAAATGTCAAAGCTAGTCGACCTGTTGGTCAGGTCAGACCCCGTCAAGTACTTTATGAATGCACGGGTGTATACACACTATCCTGTGATGCGTGCGTTGGGCGAAACTTGAGACTCTGACAAGTTGTGCGGCGAGATCCTACCACTTTAGTAATTATTCACTGAAAGTGTTCAGGCTTACAGTAGGGTGACAGCAAGACTTTCCGAAGTCCTTTAATTTTTGGATATCAGAGAGATCCGCGGAGCGGGGTACTGATGAGGCCGGCGATATGGAAAGGCAGGAAAATGACTGTAAAGTAACTCCTAGTTTAAATTTTTGGTACGGGATTTTGGGAATATATTATGTATCCTGGAAGACGTCCTGTATCGACTAGTGACAACAATATTTGTCCAAGCGTTTGTCTACATTCTTCCTTGTAGGTTGTCATTACTACACTTGATATGCAGGTTCCTTTGACCTCGTCTCCTTGGCGAGCAGCTCTCCTTACAGTACAGTTGCATAGTTGGAATCGGAAACCATTTGGACTCCTCTGACAGCCCTGCTTAGTCAAAATCGACTTTCCTGTCTTTGGGGTTAACGTAGGGTCCTCTTACTTTCTATAAAAATCGCAGTTTATTACATTAATCTTATGCATCCAAATTAACGAGGAACTGGTCGAAATCCAGACAACAAGGAAAAGCTGAAGCTTTTCAAATGGCCTACTATTTTGTCTTTTTGTTTTGAAGTACTGTAAACTTACTGTGCATCTCAATGCGTGGTAGGCATGCTTTAATAACAATCTGTCTCGAATAAATTAAGAAAAATCACATCCCTCTTGCGCATTCTGTACAACATTTCTTCGGTTTTATACTGCGTACTCAAAGGGAGTACTTTTGCTAGTTCTTTAGATGTCCCAATGACTAAGCGCCGGTTGGCCATTCACTGGCTACTAAATTCCGCTGAACAGATATGCCGTTTGCTGCGTTAAACTAAGGCATTTTCTGTGCTCTACTGTGTGTTTTCACACTAGCATGAAGTGGTATGCCAACTAACTTTAAAAATACGCAGTATCCCATTTGAAAATAATGCCGGATTTGTTTGATCTACTCGGGATTTCTCATCGATTTTTGCACAGAACTGCTTTTTATATCAAGAAGACGAAGGATAGGAGGTGAACATCAAAAACACAAGTCGGGCACAATAATAGAACAAGAAAACCATTGAAAGGGTGTGGGCAAATTTAAGCTCGTTGGAAATAATCCTAGCCTAAAATCTAGCTGTCCGGGGCATGACAGCCAGCTTTAAATTGTAAACAGTATTTCAATGCTCACATTGCGCTTACGCTTAGGACGCGAACAGCGTAATCGACCCCCAGCCGCCTTACCCTACATCTGTCGCGAAACTAGATGGCCAGATATTTCTGTTGAAATGTCAAAGCAAGTCGACTTGTTGGTCACGTCACACCCCGTCAAGTACTTTCTGAATGCATGGGTAAATGCACAATATCTTGTGATGCGTGCGTTGGGAGACAATCGGAACGCTAACGAGTTGTGCGGTGAGCTCCTACCACTATAATAAACATTCACTGAAAGTTTTCGGGTGCCAGCAAGACTATCCAAAGTCCTTTAATGGTTGGACATCAGCGAAATCCGCGGAGCGGGGTACTGATAAGGCCGGCGATATGGAAAAGCAGGAAAGCGACTGTATTGTAAGTCCTAGCTTTAATATTTGGAACGGGATGTTGGGAATTTATTATGTATCCTGGAAGAACTCCTGTATCCACCGGGGACTGGAGCGGCGGCTACACCTCCAGTCACACTGATTGGTTGGCCGTGAGAGCTTGGGAGGGTAGGCCAATCGAAAATCCAGTCGCAGTCGAAGGTACCTGATCTGATCAGCAGGCTACATCACTCCCTCGTACACGACTATGACGACGAAGAAAGAGCTAACGTTAGATCTCAACATTGTCCTTTTAAGCCAGAGTTGCAGCAAACAGCCCGGCTTCACCGGAGGAAAAACTACTAGGAGACAAAAGATGACCAAACCACGAAGCAAGCAGACAATGACTGAAGGATGTAGATCCTAAGGGGAATCCTTGACATGATATTTAACGTCCATTCATGCCTTAGCCAATTTATACAATTCCAACTCTCACAGCGGTAGCCGAAATCCGGCTAACATGTCTCAGCTTAAAATGAACGGATTAACCCCTATGCGTGCACACAGAAGACACCCATAACACGCTATATATCAGACGAAAAAACTACTTCGATTAAACTTCTGCCTCCGTAGGTGCACGCGTGTCTGAGGCAGGGGAGCAGACATGTTGGAAAGAGAGCGACTGGAAGAAGTGTGTATGCGGTAGAAAAACTCGTGTTTACCCTAACCCTAGGCCGCTCATACACCTCCCATCACCACCGCGAAACCCAGATATGGATAACCTCGAGCTATTAGGTCGCACATGAAATGACCAGTGGGGTGACTTGAAGGGGGGCCGACTACCACTCTCTGGCTTGCACGAACGCCACCCTCCACCATCATACCACTCCCTCCCCCTCCAAATTAGCAGTCGAAGACAGTTGCTGTCGCGGCCAACTAAGGCCGCTTACCACGACCTCGGCAGACGCAAACGTTTGATCCGCAAATTCGCTAATGGACTTGACTGCTGCGCGAATGCTCGACCAGACGAGGGTGGTGTTTGCCTCAAAGAACAGACTCTGGCTGACGCGCTTTAAACTATCACGACGCACAAACAGGCATAGCTTGGAAGGTCGCTAACTGAGGGGCTAATTCAGTCATTCCTAGCACTGAGAGTCAGACTCGATGGCTTCTTATTTGTGTGGCCTTAATGGTGCCCGATCTGATGTGAGATCCGAGCGTCTCTCATGAAAGTCTCGTACACTCTGCGGGGTTCACGCCGTGTGTGGAACATTGTCTCCTCATCTGCTCGCCACCTGTGCCCTTCCCCGACTGCGGTCTTCGTGGCTCTGTCTTAACACCGCGTCCAGGTGGGGATTGGAGAAAAGAGGGTGCGGTATATGCTGCGCAAGTACTATAAACAAATTCGCGCTCAAGTCACCGTGCCTGCTGCACCTTGGCGTGTGGCGCACGGTGGACATCGTCGAAATCGACCGTCGAAATGTTGTTGTGCCGTCTCCCCATCGGAGCCGGAGGAGTGCTGGAGGGGAGAGTGTGCGGTAGATGTTGCGCACTGTCGGTTTTGGAAGGGTGGGATGTCAATGCATTGGCTTCGGAGTCCGACAGAGTTGGTCGATTCTGTACTTCTTCTGGGCACATCTCGGTCTTGTCACGTGATGCGGAGGAGTTCAGTAATGTTAACGGTCGTCTATGTCCTGGAGATCAAGAGAGATAGTGTGCTGCCTTTGAGTGCCGCCTTTCCGTTCTCTTGGCCTTCTATGTTCCTCTCAAGCGCCAGTGTCCAGTTGGCGATCCGTTGTGAGGTCTCTGATTCATCCCGTCCGAAGTCGCACTACAACCTTTAGGGTGCGCAGCTCTGAGTTTTAAAGAAGAAGACACGATCGCCGGGACAAGAGCTTTATTAGCCTGACGTTTCGGATTCCTGCTCGAATCCATCATCAGAGACATAAGCAGATAAGGGTGGTTCATGCACATGTGGCTGCAGTATTTATAGGATACAGTAGCCATGCCACCGCCTACCTATGAATGTTCACGGCTCCCTCCCCTTCATCAGGGATCGTTGCACGTGGCGTGATGGTCGATATTCGCGTCGTTAATTGCTGAAATTTCATCACGTGCGTTGGATGTTGGTGTGATGATTGCTCGACCATCTGACGCGCTGACCCGGGTGTTGGGAAGAGTGTTCATCAGGGCGCTCCCCGCGTAGCCAATTTCTCCGCCCAGACGAAGTCTCAGCACGCTGTATTGAATGGGAAGATCATTGCACTTGTTAATAGACTGGGGGCCAGTGAACCATGACTCAAGCAGCTCCGGGCTCACGCGGTTGTCACCTCTTGCGAGAACTTCGGCCTCGTCAAATTTGAATGTGTGGCCGGAACCCGTCGAATGAGCCGCAACTTGAGAGTTGGCGTAATTTCTCCGCACTGCTGCAGCGTGTTCGGCCATTCGCGTTCGGAGCTGTCTTCCGGTTTCTCCGACGTAGTTGCTTTGTCCGCAACTGCACCAGATCCGATAAACGACTCCAGACGTTTCTTGCCGTGGCAGTGGGTCTTTTGGTTTCATCAATTGACGCCTGATGGTTGCCTCTGGCCTGTGTGCAACTCCAACCCCCAGCGGTGCGAGAAGGCGGCCAACAGCTTCCGAAACGTTATTGACATATGGAAGCGCTCGCCAAACTTTGGTGTCCCTGCGGTTAGTCCTTTCGCCCATTTTGCGTATGCACCGGTTGACAAAGTTGCGCGGGTAGCCATTGGCTTTGAATACCCGTCGGAGGTATTGTAGTTCAGCAATCTTGTCTTCCGGCTCACTGCAGTGTGTTTCGACACGCCGATAGAGCGTCCTTACACAACTGCGTTTGTGAATGACTGGGTGGTTGCTGTTGAAGTTCAGTACTTGCATCGTATTTGTCGCTTTCCTGAACACTTTGGTCTTTAGTCCACCACAATCCTTGCGGCATACGAGGACATCCAGGAAGGCCAGCTGGTTGTTCTCTTCCTCCTCCATCGTAAATTGTATGTCCGGGAATACCGCATTCAGACGTTCCTTGAATGTCAGCAGTTGATCCCGATCGATAACGACGAAGGTATCATCCACATACCGGGCCCAGAACGTCGGTCTGTGGTGTTGGAAGACCAGCGACTCTAACCGTTGCAGGACCGCCTCGGCGATGAATCCCGAAATCGGCGAACCCATTGGTGTGCCCTTCACCTGTTCGTAGATTGTCCCGTCTCTGATTCATCCCTTCCGAAGTCGTACTACAACCTTTAGCGTGCGCAGCTCTGAGTTTCACCGTTTCCAGTTTAGGCATGTGCGTATCCAAGATCGAGTGCCACAGATGAACCTGGGTCTGGTAAATTTAGTTCTGATGGGGAGTTTCTCGAAGATGGCTCGGGTGCTCTCAACTTTAAATCCCCAGAGTACTCTAATCATGGAGATAGATTGGGTGAGATGATGCTTATTCAAGTCCCCACAGAAACCTCATCCTAACATAGTTACTAGCCCAAAATACATACACACACCAGGACGAAGTTTTACGATTACGATTCCCATTGTAGACAATGATATTTGGGTGTGCGGGCATGAATATCCGGGGTCAGAATTTTCTCTAGTCTTTCGGTACGCATGTTGTCTTGGGCTTGAAGTAGCGAGTAGTCTGGGAACGATTAATCCCGAGACAGTGCACGTTAAGGGTAGCAGAATTACCACAGACGGTTGCAGAAAGGAAACCTGGCAAGGAGCTGCCGTCTGAATCCCGACGTATCAGAAGATGAAGCAGTAAGGGAGCCCCCGCAAGCAGAATGCTAAACTTCCTTGAACTCCCATTTTGCAGACGTCGAAGTACATTACTCGTATCCTCTCCATCGAATAGGTGTGTCCAGACGAACTCCAAAATTGGCCGGCACGACAGTAGCCCGGGTGTCCGTAAACTCATCTTCCCTACTGTCCAACCCCATTGGTCGACAGTGGCGAGAGGTGACGTCCGTCTGGTGCCCTGCGCAGTGGATGCAGCAACGGATGATAATTAGTTTTTTGGGACGTAGACTTGCACAGCATCCACTGCACAACATCCCCCTAACAGCTGTCCCGATGTTAATACAGTCGGAGGCGATCGAGTGCCTATTCTGCCCGTCTACACGTGCCACACACGACCTTCCCCCGCGGCGAACGCCAGGTTTCCGCAAAAGGTTCAGAGGGTCGCTCGGGTCTCAGGTCAGAAAGCTAGCGCCACGTAGGTCGTATTTAGAGCGAGCCACCGACCCTAAGTCCCGAGAATATCACAACCCAGAAGATGAAGATGCGATCACTGGGACAAGAAGTTTATTTGCCTGACGTTTCGGATTCTCACTCGAATCCATCATCAGAGACATTCGCAGATAGAGGTGAATGTGGCACCAGGAGTGCAGTATTTATAGCACGTGGCTGCCGTAGGACCGTATGCGCGCTGCAATTAACAGTTCTCACAATCGCCGCTGGGGTCGTAATTGATGCGGCGGTGGCTTGGCGGTCCGAGTCCGAGTTGTTAATTGCCGCGATTTCGTCATCCGTGCTCGATGCTGGTGTGAAGATTGCTCGGCAAACTGGCTCACTGTCACCGACGCATGGCGAGAGCACAAGAAACAGCCCTAGCCCGATTCTACGGTCTTCCAAAAGTGCACAAAGAGGGCGCTCCTCTCCGGCCTATCGTATCACTAAAGGGCACTCCAACCTACGGACTGGCAAAGTGGCTGTTCCAACGTCTCAAGTTTCTGACCTCCGATTCGAACACCACAGTCAGCTCGTCAACACAATTCTTGGAGAAACTTAAAGGAGTAAGTCTCCTGCCAAGCGATATCATGGTTTCCTTTGATGTCACGTCCCTTTTTACTTCTATCCCGCAGGACCTGGCAGTCGAGACAATCGAACTACTCCTACGAGAGAAGTACGACGAAACGGAGAATCGCCTCGGACACGCCCAAATCATCCAGCTCCTAAAGTTCTGTCTCAAGACGTACTTTACATTCGACGGAACAATCTACGAGCAGGTGACGGGAACGCCAATGGGTTCGCCGATTTCGGGACTCATAGCCGAGGCGGTCCTTCAACAGCTGGAGTCGCTGGTTTTCCGACACCACAGACCGAAATTCTGGGCTCGGTATGTGGATGACACCTTCGTCGTCATCGAACGGGATCAGGTGCTGACTTTCAAAGAACAACTCAACGCCGTCTTCCCGGACATTCAATTTACGATGGAGGAGGAGGAAAACAATCAGCTGGCCTTCCTGGATGTCCTCGTCTGCCGCAAAGATTGTGGTGGCCTAAAAACCAAAGTGTTCAGGAAAGCGACAAATACGACGCAAATACTGAACTTCAATAGCAACCACCCGATCAGTCACAAACGCAGTTGCGTAAGGGCGCTATACCGGCGTGTTGAGACGCACTGCAGTGAAATGGAAGACAAGGTTGCTGAATTACAATATCTTCGACGGGTAATGAGAGCCAATGGCTACCCGCGCAACTTTGTCAACCAGTGCATACGAAAAGGACACCAGAGACCAAATCCNTCACCTCTATCTGCGAATGTCTCTGATGATGGATTCGAGTGAGAATCCGAAACGTCAGGCAAATAAACTTCTTGTCCCAGTGATCGCATCTTCATCTTCTGAACTGCTACCTGGGACTCGCCTGTTCGCTTCTATCAGCAATATCACAACCATCCCATCGGTTAGTAACCTTCCAAGCCAGTGGCCTCAGAGCGTCGAGATGGTTTCAAGCGCGTCTCAACCCAGACAGCACTCTGAAATCGCCACCCTAGCCTCTGTCACCTGGCTCCACCACCCCCACGGCAGCCGAGTCCATTAGCAACTTTGCGGATCAAACGTTTGCGCCTGCCGGGGTCGTGGTAAGCAGCCGAATCGGCCGCGGCGGCAACTGTCTTCGGCTGGGACTTTGGGGGAGAGGCGAAAGTGGGGGGGTGGTTGAAGGTGTTCGTGCAAACCGGTGAGGGGTCGGCGCTTTTCCATCCAAGTCACCACGCTGTCAACCTCACCTGAGGCAGATTGTCTCTTTCTAGGGGCCTGACGTTATCCGCACTGGGGTGGGATGTGTGAAGGGGAGGGGGATAGCAGTTAGATGGGCGGTCAGACATGTTTTTCTACCCTGAACACATTTCGCTCCTCGCCGCGTCTGAGGTGTAAATTGTTGTGGACAAGCGGGCAGTTAATAGCGTGGCCTATCTTCAAAATTCTGTCGCGCTTGCGCCAACCAACCCCTCCCACCCCCAGACCATACCGATCCAAGATAGGTCAAAGGATAATTGCA